GTAGCGGATGCGCCCAACGGAACTAAAGCGTTTGCACTCTTCGACTTTGAAGCGGCTTTGAAGCGTGCAAATCAGGAAACAGGAAATTGTTCGTTAAAAATGTACTTAGATAGCAATGCACATGGCTATGGAATAGATCAATAACACTCATTAAAAAGCTTAAATGTATTTGTATGGGTTCAAGAGTTTAAGCTAACGTTTGGCAAGGAAACTGCTAAAAAATATTCTAAAAATAACATCTACTTTTAAACTAACGTTTTTTATCATCGTTTTTCAATTCATAGTTAAATATACTATATAATACAATAATAAAGAGTTAACAAATAAAAATAAAATTTAAAATATCACATACATCTTGAACTTATATATCCTACGAACTAAACCTAATTAAAATAAAAAAGGAAAACAAATAAAAACTTTTTTATGGCGAAACTACGTTTTTATCTGTTTAAACATATTTCATTTTATTTTGTTTCTTTGCAATATTTATCGAAAATCAAAGATAAATGGCTTTCTTCTTTTATCTATATACCTATAATAATCCAGTTGCGTACACTTATGACAACGGCCGCGAATGTCGAGCCAACTAACTTTATTTACATTTTGGTGGAAATCCTAAAACTCTATGCACGCATTGAAAGTTGTTATATTCAAATAAAATAATCATTTATATGTTAAATTATTTAATTTATGAACATGTGCATTTCGTATTTATTGAGCGTGTAGAGACACAGACGAGGTAGGTATGAGGCACTTAGCGTTCATGCCGCACCCTCAGAGACAAAATATCAGCATGTCTATGCATACATATTTAATTTAATGTTTGTGTGTGTAAGTTATGAATATATGAATGGTTCGCTTGAAAAACCGTTAACAACTTTTGAAAACATGCAGCATTGATGGCTGCCTGAGGGTTGCAGTGCTTCAGTCGTCGCCGAACTGAACAAATCTGAGTAAATCTGTAAAATTAAAACAAAATGTCAGACAGACGCTCAAACTGAACGTTGTTGTAGTTATGGCTGCTGACACTGCCAGTTAAAAAAAATTAAATAAAATATGTTTTCATTAAAAAAAGAGCAGCTCACACGACGTCAGACGCGTCAGATTCGTCAGCATTAGCTGTGTACATATGCACATTTTATACATATATGTATGTCTGGTCCTTATTTAAATGCTGCAGGACCTGTGCTGCTGCTGACTGCTGCCATGTTATTCTTTCGAGATTTATAAGCACACATACTGCACACACCCACTAATAGGGGGGCAGGCGAAAAATGTAAGTGCCATATTTATGCCAAAGAAGCAACGATATGCTGCACGGAGAGAAATTGATTGGAAAAGTAACACAGTATGCAAATCAAAATTAAGTTTATGACCGCAAGTAATAGCTGTATGACTTCGACTTCAAATAGTTTAATAATATTCAAAGCTATGTTTTATTCATTAAATTTAACCAGAAAAAAGCGTGCAACGCCTTAATACACAAACATATGAAAACAAACAAACACACAGTTTATAAGCTAAGCAACTAAAAAAAAAATAAATATTCTCAATGACATAATGTAATATGTACAATAATTTCCAGTCACAGTATTCATATATATCATTTTTAATGCTTGGCTTCTCTCAGTGCATAGTACAAGTAATCGTATAGCACTTGATATATTTATATTTTTATGCAGCATTGTTTGCAAATACAAGATATATACAAATATGTTTAAATATACGAATATGTACTTTTTGCATTGCCCGTAACCTATGGAACAAAGCACGTACTTACTGATTGGCCATTATGTTCTATATATAGTAGTATTTGGCAATTAAAATCAATTCGAAAAGTATTTCTTACGTATTTGGTATTATTTGCTATTGCGTATTATTTTTATTTGCACCCCTTCACAATTTCGAGCTCATTAAAAATTTTCAACTGAAATATTTTGCCGGAAGCTGCTTTTCAAATGTGCATACGTGTGCGTGTGTGCGTGTGTGGGTGTGTAGGTGTGTGCCCTTAACATGGGCTGCCGTGCTGCCGTGTGTAAACAGTACAGCACAAAAGTATGCCGTCGCAGAGAACAGAGCTCTAAGCAGATGGCATACTTTTTTCCCGCACTGTGGCTATAGCCCTTTTCCGGCTGTGTGCGTGTGTGTGTGCAGGGTATGTATTTTAGTTTTTCTACCTTTTTGCGCAATTTAAACTGCAAAATTACATGCGGATACATTTAATTAGATGGCGCACACATATATTCTGTTTTATTTAGGTGCAAGTTGCCGCTAGTTGCGGTAATTTGGCTACACATGTCACATATCTGGCGTGCCCTCCAGCGCCAGCGCATACGTGATTCGCGCACGTGGCACATCCGTCGAGTTGCAAATTAAGCTGCCACAGTTAAATGTGGCGTACCAATTGATATAATCATATTTGTGGCCAGAAAGAGTTGCAATAGTCGCAAGAAAAACTGGTTTTATTTGACTCACATAGACAACCTTGCCTGGCCGCACATTCACTCAACGCAACCCCCTTTTGCCTGCTGGCATTTCACTTTTGATAACATTTCGATTTGATATATTTTTTGCCCGACTCTCCCTCTCTCCCTCCCACATTGCTATCCTCACACTCGTCTGCATCATTACCACTTTTATTGGCGTCTTCAGTGTCTGCGTGTGTTTCCTGTATCGACGAGTCGCCCGTCTCGTGCTCCAGCAATATATCAATGACACACGCGCTACATGCCTTATATCGATATACTAAAAACATTATGTGTGTATATATATGTACCTACTAGCATGTCGCCTCGGAAACACGTCTGTCCATTTCCCCTCACTATCTCTCTCTCTCTCTCTCTCTCACGCTCCCGGCCAGTTGCTTAAGCGTTTTGTCTGCTGCCTTTTCAATAAAATCCATCTTACAACTATTGCTAAAGAGAGTTTAATACTTCTTCAAATACACTTGCTGAGGGTTTTATAACTTTGTTAGAAATAATGCAAACAGATGTTAACTTATGGAATCGGTTAAGACATTGATAGTCAATATTTCTTGCATATGCTACACATATAAATATATTATTTTAATTTTAATATATAATTACAATTAAATATATGCGTATATTCGATTACAATATATTTATTTATATATCTGTTTTTTAAATAGCAGTACGGCTTATAGTAAGATAGAATTAAATTATTTGCATTTTAATATGTTGATATAAAAAGTATCATATATTATTCTATTCATGTTTATGGAAAATTTAATAAAAATTAAATTGTCACGCAATGTTATGCATTTCAGAGTATTCCATAGACACCTTCTCGATTTTGTCTCCACACATCTTCTTATTTTTATATACATATAGAATCAGTCGCCATCTTAACTTGGTTGGCTTTTTGTCTGTGCTTCATTTCATTTCTTTGTTAACATGATTCGTTTTTTATGGTAACTGTGAATGGATTTACTCCATTTGGCTTAAATACTTATTTTAGCTTAGTTTGCTCACAAGGCCACACCTCCTTTACCGCCCAGCTCACCGCTAGCAGCTGGAAACGCTGGGAGAGAACCATTTGACCGGGTGACTTAATTCATTCGATGCATTATTTAAATTGCAACGCAAGCGTATTGAGGGTCCACAAAAAGACAGCATACTGCGAACTATTCACCTCCTGACCATCTGAAGCTGATTGCTTTTTGTCATTGTCCGAAGGTTCGGATAAGTTTTCAGAAATGTGTGTGTCTTATTTTTAACTAAAGACTTGAAACATAGCAAACATATTTTCAGCTAAATTCAATCAATTTGTTTATTTAATAAAAGAATAAGTGTTTTTAAACACATACTTTGTAAGTACCTTTTTTCTTTTTTGCATCTTCTAGTTGAACCTTTGCTTGGCAACTCTTTACAAATAAAATAATTTACTTTCCAATAGCTGGGCAACTCTGCCAAACTTCTGACGTTTAACCAAATATATTACGTCTCCTCATATCATTTTTGTTTTGGTTGCCTTAGAGCTCACACTCAAAAACAAAAAAAAAAAAAAACAAAATAAAAAACAACAAAAAAAATGAACGTGACGGTGAACGACTGTCTGGACAAGATGTCGAACTTGGTTCTGGGTGATCCCGAAGCACAGGCACTGTCGGCATTATCTAGTTTTCAAGATGATTCTGACACCCCCAGCATTTTAAACGGAGCTTCATTTGAATGTTATGAGTCAAGCGATTCGGAGGGCGTACAATCGGCACCAGAACTAAGCGAGTCTCAGCGGAAAAGCGAAAATGCCCGCATGTATCCGCTGGAGGTGAAGCTTTACTGGACTTACGAAGAAGTCGAGCGGGGCGCCATGAAGAAGAAGCGCAAGAGATGTGTTGATGTGTATAACGGTATAACAGTTAAGCGCAGGAAATGCATCAAGGAATGGGCAGAATTAGCTAAATGTAATCAAAGCAATGAAAGAAATCAGCAAAAGACTCCAACTAAACAGGAAATTGGATATGATGCTGATGATGAATATTAATAAATCCTTTAATACTCTTTAAATTATTATAAAAAAATTGTTTTGTTGATGCATGAAATAAAAATGTTTCATTAAGATATAAATGTAACAAAGCGTGTGCTTTAACTAAGGTATTAATTGACATTTTACACGAATTTTTGCAGAACATTAATAATTACATTAATAAACATAATATTTATCAATTAAAATTACCAAATATAGTTAGTTAATCGGACAGAGTATATTAAGTAAGCTCAATAGGTTAATTGAGTGATCAGGAATTAGCCAAAAACATGGATATGGTAAAGGGAAAGCAGTTTTAGCTTATATAACTCTCGTCCAAATAATAATCGCCTTATTTTAATTTTGATTGAGTCATTAAGAATAGCACGTAAGCATGGATATGGTCAAGGTAAGGTAGATGTTGCATATAGAACTTTCATTCAAATGTGAATCTGCGTATTTTCAATTGAAGCATTGATATAACAAAAATAACACCTCTACCTATAATAATGGAAGCGCACAAAATATAAGTAACTAGCAAAAACTAAAATCAGAGTAGTTTTGAAATATCAATCATGAGTTTTCCCAGCTAGGTACGGTCCCAATTTCTATGGCTTCAGTCTGACGACATCATTCAAAAGTAAAACACCTACATTTTATTTTTTAAATTTAGTCTTCAAAATGTTCATTGGTCCAGTTCAAAAAGGTAAAATGTGTGATTTAATATTTGTTTTTGTTTTAAATTAAATTTGTTTTCATTGCTAAGAGCACCTCCACATGATGATCCTTGGCTGTGGTTGGCCTTGTGGATCACTGAGTGGACCCTGCTGCGGTGGGTGCTGTGGCAGCTGTTGCGGTGGCTGCGGCGGTTGCGGCGGCTGCTGTTGATCTTGAACGAGACCTTTAGACCTGGACCAATGCACATCAATTGCCAGGATCTTTGCGAAGCAAATGAAACCACAATTAACATCTGCAAGCAAGAGCAAAATCACGGCATGAAGAATATGTTTAATAAATGGTTGTGAGACGTTATTTAAATTTGTTGTTGTGGGCTTTAATGGGGCTACGATAGGGGCGTGTTTGGGTCAAAACAAATTTCGAATGACTTTGATCCTAAGACAAACGAATACAACCCAAAGCACACGGTGTATGACCTAAAAGGTTTGGAAATAATTTCAATTAAAATTCTTCTGGATAAAATTCTGTGAATCGCTGTGTTGTGCAGTTCTCTGCGGTGGCTGCGGCTACTGTCTTTTGAAACTGGACTAATGCACACATCAGTCGGCGGGAGTCCTAGAAGCCAGACAAAATCTGGTTTGACATCTATAAACGAGCATTTTGGAATAAAAATTTAGAACTGGGCTCGTTTACATTTTGCCATTTCTTCATAGGATTATTTTCTTCAAGAATAAAAAATACAATAAAATCTTTGTTCTTTTCCCTTTACACGATATTTCAATATTTTTATTTAAATCTTTGCAATTAAGCGCTGGGCTTTATAAATAATGTAAGCATTGACAGTCCGAATACCCCACTTGGCTCTTTGAAGGAACTGAAGTTCCAGTTCCAAGAGAGGAATGCCATTGCAATTGACATTGGCCAGCCAATTACCTCTGCTTCATTCGCTATAGAAGAGTCAAGGGGAATATATATGCTTGCAAGGAGTTGCTGATTTTTTGATAGCATACATACGTACCCTACGTATCTTATAAGCAGTTCAAAATTAAAATTATTTTTAAAGTGCATACCAAATTTTTACCAATATTAGTGCGACTTAAAGCATCAGAAGAAGCCTTCATATTTTACTCTTGGAAAAATGAGTTTAATATTTGACTAACAACTTTTGATTAAAGTAGCTTTGAAAAACTAATCACAAATTGTTCGACCCAAGTCCGCTCCTTGTTCAACTTCTCCAGTCTTACCCAAGTGAGCAAAGGAATAACACCTAAATTTTTTCCAAATTAAAATCTTCAAAATGTTCATTGGTCCGGTCCAGAAAGGTAAAAATACTTTTGATAAAAGGTAGTTCATCTTTTATTATTTTTGTTTATTTTCTTTTTTATAGAACATCTGCACAACATGATCCTGGGATGTGGTTGGCCCTGTGGATCACTGAGTGGACCCTGCTGCGGTAGCTGCTGTGGAGGTTGCTGTGGTGGCTGCTGTGGTGGCTGCGGCTGGTGATATTTAAGCTGGGGTTTGGACTTGGACCAATGCGCAACAGTTGCCTTGATCCATATGAAAATATACCACAAACGACATCCACTGGCCAACGCTATTTTAAGGCATTGTTGTTCAATGTGAAGAATGTTTTAATAAATAATCGAAGTGAGACTTAACACAAATACTCCCTTTTTTAATACTAATCCTATGGCTGCAGCCATAGTTGTTCCTGGGCAGCGGTAGATCAGCTGGGTATTTAGAGATGGTATATGAAAAGAATGGGTCTCGCCCATTCCCCTAAATTAGACGGACACATACACATTGCGAATAAACCCAAAGCCATTCCACGTTTTGAGTTCTCTTCCGATACTCAAAGATGACTCGAACTTTTGGGTTGTGGTATGATCTATAGATCGCATAGTGGACCCGGGAACACGGCGGGTGCTGCACCTTCACCAGTGCATAGATATTAGACAATTTCCCCGAAATTCCCTTAGGCAACAAATGTCAAATTATAAAAATGCGGTAGTATGAAATGCTGCCAAATAACCGACCTTTGAGTCATTAATCTTGGGCCAGGTAGCTACATTGCAGCATACATTGGTCATGTTGATCTGCATTTTAAATTATTAAAGAAACTGAACTGCACATCATTTAGACCTTTAAAGGCCCTCGAAACTGACCACCACTTTTTGGTCGTATCTGTATTTGCCAATAGAGTTAACCAATGTACTAAATTGTGAAGGACACTATTCTAAAATAGCAAAACTGATAAACCCATAACAATCCAGAACTTGCAAACATAACCACTATTTGAGTTGTGCTCTTCGAATCTAATCCAACCTAATCTGACATGGCTTTTACCCATTTTATATTGCATATATTTAAGAAGTCTCAGCTGCCTCTTCATTTAAATTGCATAAATAAAATCTCATGAATTTAAACAAAAAATATAGGTCGGAGCACCTTTGAAAATTCAGTCGTATATTTTACCCAGCTAAGACCCAACAATACTTTCGAGTCTCAATCTTGAAACTTATCCTAAGCAAGCAACATCTAAATTTATTGTAAAATTCTATCTTCAAAATGTTTATTGGTCCAGTTCAGAAGGGTAAATACATATATTTTTTCATATATTAAATTTAATGATCATTCTCCCATAGAGCATTTGCACAACATGATCCTGGGTTGCGGTTGGCCATGTGGATCTTTGAGCAGCCCGTGCGATACCAGCGGGAGCTGCTAAAATCAACAGCTAGTTTGTTGCTCTTTGGACATGGACCAATGCATGAAGAAGGGACGTCTCTTATAGTCAATTCGAACAACTAGTACACAAAATAGATGTTAAATATAAATAAACTTTATTAACGGACTAAAGCTTAAAATAAATTTATTTTTCATTGCATAAGACAAATTTTTGAGTTCGTGGAGAGCTCTTGAAAATTTGCACCTCCATGGTCATAATAATCGGGATGTTGATCAAGTGTAGTAGTTGGCGCTGTGGGCAAAACTCACATATAATGAAATAAGAAATGTTACAATTCGTAACAATTATATTATTTTATCCCTAAGTATTTTCACGCTTTTTATTGGGGCTATGAATATATCTGGCCTGTTACATATTTGACTGTACAGATCATTGCCATGTTTTCTATATTCTATTTTAATGGTAATACTGCATAAACTGATTGCCACAGTACACATACAACATTTATGAATATTAATAAAACATACATCAAACGATTTTAATCATTCATAAAATATTGAAATACAATTTTAATCAAATCACCGACCAGTTTGATGCACTTGGAACACGGATAAATGCATTGAAAAAATCTGTAGGTCCCCCTAGTCCACGCAGATCAAGTTTGTTTCCGATAGTCGATAACTTACTGAGTTTCCAAGCAATCGATAAAAATCAATATCGACATCCAATTTTTTATCAAATTGGGAAAATAGTAAAAGCTATATAGATATATAGCTACAATTTTATTGCAATTTTTCGAAAATAGGTAAATATTCTAAAGAACAATAAGATACACTGCAGAAAATTTCATTAAGATCTGTTAAGAAATTCGTGTTCGGGGCAGCTAGCACAAATTTCAAGAATTTCTGTATACATGTACGCACACAAATTCAGTCTACATTCATTCTTGCATTATTTTCTGTGTTGTTATTTTAATCCGTTTTTTTTCTCATTATAAATTTATGATTGGTGTGGTTCTTGAGTAGAGGCGGTGGCAAACGGTGTGGTCTCGAGCACTTTTATACCCTGAGCCCATTAAAAATGGGTAAAAGGGTATTTTGTATTTGCAAAATCCAAATGTATGTAACAGCCAGAAGGCAGCTTCTCCGACCTCATAAAATATATATATTCTTAATCAGCACCAATAGCCGAGTCGATCTAGAAATGTCCGTCTGTCTGTCTGTCCGTCCGTCCGTCCGTATGTACGAACGCAAGGATCTCAGAACCTATAAGAGCTAGAGACTTGAAATTTTAGATGATTTTAGGTGCTCCTAGTGCCTGCGCAGATCGAGTTTGTTTCCGATAATCGATAACTTACTCCGTTTCCAAGCAATCTATAAAAATCGATATCGACATCCTGTTTTTTGAGCAAATTGGGTAAATAATAAGAGCTAGAATCAACAAAAATTGATATGTTGTTTCTAGAATATTATACATTTGTCAAGTATCTTTAATTTTATACCTATCCCCACCGCCCTCTACCACCCGACAACTATAAATCAATTTTTTAACTCAACCTAACTCAATAACTTTTATTGCCAACCAACTTAAGCCACAATTTAAATGCAATTGACCTTTTCAGTATACACAAAAATTATATGGTACAATAAGATATACTGTAGAAAATTTCATAACGATCGGTTAGAAGTAAACCAAAGTTATATGCAACTGCGCAATTGAATAGAGCTGCATCTTTAAGAATTTCTGTATACAAGTACACACACATTCATTCACGTCTGCTTCGCATTCAAACAGCATGGTAGTTGCGACATTTTTCTGTAGTGATATCTCAGTTCCTTTTTTTCATAAGTACTTAATTATTTTGTGTGGCTGCTGAGTGGAGGCATATAAAGTGGTGCGGTCTGTCGCGAGTTCAGGCCCTAACGGAGAAAGTATTTTTTATTAATTTTTTTTTTTTTTTTTTTTGTGGTGTAATGCGGTCATTTGAGAATTCGAACCCTGCCAAGGGAATTTTTTTTTAAATTTATTTGGTGTTAGAATTAGAGGGTATTCCCTAGTCGGGGGCTCCCGACTAGTACCTCTTACTTGTTTTATTTTTAATTCAGTCTAGCTCCAGATTCCGACAGAACCTCCAAATATTCTGTATATTTAAATTTTTAAAAAGTTTATTGGCTAGGTTCAGAAAGGTAGACGATTAAATTATTAAATGAAATTAGTTAAAATATCTATTTTAACTGTAGAGCACTTGCACGTGCACTCCTTAGCTGTGGTTGACCGTGTGGATCGTTGGGCGGTTCAAGTAAGACCAGCGGCTGTTGATGTCAACAAATTGACGCGTCTAAGGCTGGATTAAATACACGACTCACCTACATTGTGTATGTAGTTTCAAATTTAGGCGTAGTTAAATATTAAAATAAATGCAATAGTGTGGATTTAGACTGTCAAACATTTGTACATGTATATTTTCTGTATCTCTACCAGATTCTAACTTATCTTAAACCCATTTTAAAATGGGTTGAATATAAATTAAAGTCAACGTTCAATTATTTGCTTTGAATTTTTGATAAATACAAATGTGTAGCAAGCCAACCTGCAGACTCAATGAAGCTTATTAGAAAGTCGGAGCAATGCATTCGATGCTTAATTGCTGTGGTGCATGCCTCAAGTACGAGTAGAGTGTGCCCACTGTAATTGTAATAATGTAATGTGGCATAGCGAAACCGATGCCAAGCAGCAGCCATAATGCCTGACAGGGTCAGGTAACGGAATTATTTTTAAGCTGCAACATGCTACAGGTAATTGTGGCAACTGCAAAATGAAAGCTTTCACAAGCGTTTTGGCATTGAAATACGCCAACGAGCGATTTTAATTAATGTCAAGTGAAACAAGTGCTGCCCAGAAATGGGAACAAATAAGGAATGCGCATGGGTCGTGGCCAATTGTTGATGTCAGCAATTGAGTTGTTCAAAGTAAATTGCAAGCCAAGTTGCTCATACGCCCCATGTGGCACATGCAATTATTAATGGCTGCTGCAAGTGGTACAACACACGAAAAAGGCAAATACCCCCGTCGACCGTCTGCTGACATTTCAATTCATTTCGGATCACACTGGTGTCTGTTTTGTATATCACGTATTAGATTGTTGGGGCCAAATGCCTGGAGAGATGATTTCCATCATTCATTTCCTCCAGCAGTGCGGCGTCTGTCGAGCTGAGTTTTCAGCTGCTAGCAAAAGTGTTGCTACTTTGAATTATGAAGCCAGTGTATACACGCTAGCATCATCATTGGCCACCTCTATTCATACAAGTAATCCCACACACACACACACACACACACACATACACACACATACATACACACAAACGCAAAAACACACAGATACACAAGAAGATGACGCAGCTTTGGGAATAAGCAGCTGAGAATCTGAGTGGCAGGCAAATGAATTGTTTCTACTCACACGTTTCCTCTCATGTTAACTGAACTTGACTCGTCCTGCCTTAGCTGCCCCCAGACTCTCCTGGCCATCCTGGCAGGCAAGTCGAAGCGTTTAATAAGCGGAATATACATCGATATGAATAAGTAATATGAATATTGCGCATATGCACATATGGATAAAAGCAAGACGCCAGCTAACTAATTTCGTAAGTCAAAGGACTCTAAGGACGCACAGTTTATTTTTTAAGCCAAAATATGGGCTGAAATTTTTTATTTTAAATGTTTTTTATAAATCTTTCAAAAAGTAGCTAGGAAAAATTTTGCTGCAAAAGCAATAAAATATATTTTAATATTAAAACAGGCTTGCATATAACTGGCATTTAAATAAAAAGAATTATTCAATGATTCATATTTAAAAATTTTCAAATCATTTATTAATTTTTACTTTTCTACTCCAATAATTAATTACGAGCTTTTTAAAAATCATAAATTGTAGCTAGAACATAGTATAATAAATGTACCAAAATGTGGTTGGTCTTTCATGTGGTCAGTCCGGTTTATTTATATGTGTAGATGAAACTAATTTAAAAAATTTTGAAATTATTTATAAACATAACTAATTTGATTCAATTTCAGTGTTAAACGTTACCAAGTCCTACGTAAAGATTAAATTGGGAGCAAGCCGTCAGAGTTCATGTTATACATCTTATAAACTCAATCGTATAACAGTAAGGGGCTCAACTAATGCTATACATCTGTTGGTATGCCAGTTTAAGTAGAGCCTGCACGGCTATAATACAGAGCATGCCCAGGTAAATTTTCCAATTGAAGAGCCCCAGCAAGGAGTTATCCTCGGAATTGGGCGGCAGCATAAGACGCACCGCATAGGATTCTGGCTGTATATGCAACAATCCGGAACTGGATGTTGGCGCCTCATCATTGTGCTCCACCCAGTCGATGTCATCCACCCGATCGTAATTAAAGGTATTCACATAGTTCAGTTGCTGATCGATGGGAGACATCCGCGAGCGCTGCAAGTTTCGGAATTGGGGACGCCTCGTAGACAAGCTGCTATGCCGGCCCACATAGCGCAGCACATGGCTGCCCACCACAGACACCTTGCGCACCAGCGTATGTGGACGTGGACGGGCGCGCTCCACCAGCGGCAGCAGCGGCAATGATTGTTGCCTCATGTGAACACCATCACCGACTTGACTGTACTCCCGCACCCTGCCAGTTGTAGTCGCAGGGGGCAGCAAGCTCTGTACAATGTGCGGCGTTGTTGCCAGCATCATGTTGGCCATAAAGGGACTAGCCAGTGAATCAGCGCGAATGGGAAAACGTAGCGGATTGTTTGATTCTCCTACCGAGGACATGGCAGTTTAGTTGTTAAAATTTTTAATGTACCAAAAAATTTGTTCTGAATTCATGGAAATATTGTTAGAAAGACAAATGAATAGAAAAAAAAAGGCTGCTAAGCCATCTTTTGCCTCTATCTTTCACTTACGCTTCATTGCTGAGGTAACGCCTTTCTATGTAATTTTCATACATTTTAAAATATCTTCATGATATTAATGTGTTGTGGTGATGGGGATAATATATTAAAAGACCTACTTTTATAATTTGTCTCTCTCACTCCTACTCCTTATTCTATATTTTGCTTCTACTAATTGCCTTGCCCATCTCCTTAACGCATTTCTATGCGATTTGCATAAATTCACTTAGAGCTTACCGAATTTTTAT